TGTTTTGATTTTCAGTCAAACTACAGTTTTATCAGAATAATCATTGCTTTTGTAGGCTTTCTTGCCTACAGATTAGAGAGTGTTTTATGCATCTGAATATTCTACACCTTGAAGTGAGAATTTGCTCTTGGGAAGTCACATGCTTTCTTGGAGAACGAATTGTCACCTCACATTTTCCATCTGTCCTCAAGGAACTATGTTTATTTTTAGTGAGCAAGATAAACCCTAGAGGGATAGGTAGTAGATTCCCCCACTTTCTTTCATTTCATATGGAGGAGTATAAGATTCCCTTGATAATTAACATATCAGATTTCTGAGATCCGTGGAGCTCCTCTTGCAAGGAAAAGTGTGTATAATTGTAAGTTCTATATATAATATATGTATATGTTTTTCTGTTTCCATGGGAAATGTTACAGTATGATTTATTTGCCATATATGAAATTTAACATTTTGAAAGACTAACTTTCATTCTGTGGAATTAAAGGTGAGAAGCTTTACTGTGTCGTGTAATATCTTTGGAAATGAATGGCAACTTGGCATTTTCCTCTGCTTCTTACTGATGGAAGTTGTGAGGATTCCAGTGTTTTCCCCCGAGAGATTATCTTCCGTTGGCCGCCATCCTAAGTTTTGAGATGTTTATTCTAGAAGCAATTTAAACAAAAGAGAGGAAATGCCCTGGACTAGTGACTGCATGTAATCATCATGAAAAATGCTTGATATTGAATCAAAGGAGTGGAAGATGGTGTCCTGATTCCAGACTTGCACTCCCATCTCTGGGGACAGGACTCTTTTGGAGAAACTAGGATAAAAGGAAAGCATGTTGGGGCAAACATGGCCCATTTGTAGTGCATGTATTTCCTTCTTTTCTCCTTTTTATTGTCACCCTGTGAATGAAGAAACCTGGTGAGTTGTGAGCTAACACAATCTAAGGGATTTTTCCTACCCTGTGATGGTGTTCAGTGAGTTGTTTCTACAATGTTACTTAAATAAAAAAGAAAACACATGAGCATTAGAATGAAAATGGCTTCAGGCAGGAGTCATCAATTGATACTTAATCTAAAGGTGGAGGTTCGATGTAGAACAGAATACTTACATAATCTCAAGGTATCTAAAACTACAGAAGGAAAAAGTTATGCAGTAAAGACATGGGACAGCATTTTAACCAAATGATAGAAATTAACATCTCTACAAAGGGGCAAGTGGTATTACGGGTCCCAAGATGGGACATTTTGGGAAGAACACATCATTATGTAGTGTTCCAGTCCCAAAGGGGATCCATGAGCCTAATCACAAGGAAATATCAAATTGAGGGACATTCTATAAAGTAACTGAAAGGTTGAGTGATGGCTCTCAGGTTCAAGGAGATTGTAGAGTCATGACAACTGAATGCACTGTGGGGTCCCAAGCTGGATCCTTCACCCAAAAAATAATTGTTATGATGGTCATTACCGGGGACACATGATGAAATGTGTATATGGACTGTAGATTAGAAGAAAATTCTTAAATTCAATGTTAAATTTCTTGAATTTGATAGCTGTACTGTGATTACGTAAGAGACTCTATTCTTAGGAAATACACATTGATGTATTACAGAGTAAGACATCAAACATGCAGCATACAGTCACATGGTTCAGAGCTAATGTATCTATATTTTTGCGTGGATACACACACACACACTCACACAGAAAGAAAGCAGGGCTGCATTAAGCAAACATGGCAAATAACTAAAAGTTGTTAAATTGGTGGAAAGGGGGGTTTAGCATTTGCAACTTGAAATTTGAAATCGTTTCAAAATAAAAAGTTTTAAAACTAGAGCCCACCTCTCCACCACACACACATACACATGTATCTGTTGCTGTAAAGGTTTTCTGGGAGAAGAATTTAGAATACAAACAGTTTGAATATTAGGAGAAAAGTGTGAGGATGAGCCATGGAAGCACCTTCTCATAAATATTGTTGGAAGCAGTCTTTCTACAATGACAGACTCCAGGAATTCTGTGTCCATCAGGGTAATCCCACTAAAGAAATTTCAGATGGCTGCAAAGCCCTGAGAGTCCAGGGTGTAGGGTGATGAAGCCCTGGTTGGAAGGTTGATTTATGGCTGGCTTAACCTGCTTGTTACCGGGAACTTGCAGAGCAGCGGTCTGGGTCAAGGCGGTGTGCCCTGCACTGTCCCTCTGGAGGGAAGGAGCACGTGCGCTATCCTTTAAGTGTTACATTCCCAGCGGTTGAGGTTAGCCAACCATCTTCTCTTAGTGCATCGGCATGGCATGTCTGCAGTGGCTCTGCAGTCTCTCGTGAAGCACGTGGAAGGAAAGTTGGTTCTTCATGCAAGCTCTGGCATCCATACAGCACTCATCTGTGACTCACGAGATTTTAAGTGTGCAAGCTTGCTTTTCCGGTAGACTCCAGGCTGAGGCAATGCACCCATGTACACTGTTAACAGAGCCTTCTAGGAAGGGGGGTGGGGCGCTTGCTAACCAGCTCATTAGAGTGAGAGAAAATGATGCTGTTCTTCAACCAGTCTTAAGAAAAATCTCAGTGGGATCTCCCTTAACAAACACCTGTAATCTGGGGTTACACCAACACACAGTTAACTCTTTACATAGACCTTTGTCGTGCTCTCATAAGCATCCTGTGGAGGTTACACAGGAAGAAAAATCAGCCTTTTATTACTTAATCACATCACTCAGTGTTAGAGGTTTTCGTTATCTCATAAAATGCTTTCCAGGGGTAGGGAAAGGGGGTTTGGAAGAAAGTTTATTGACTTGCCTTGTTTCCAATTTCATTAGCTTTCAAACAAAAATACTGTGTCCTCTTTTTATTTGTTGATTTTAAAAAATATGGCTTTTGTGCATGATTGGTTCATTTTCAAGGCCATTTTGTTTTGTCCTAATATCAGTATGCTTTGAGAATTATTTTTCTTAAGTGTAAGTGGCATAGAGGGCTATAAATCATCCACATGTATTTGACTATGACAGTAATTGTTTCTGAGTGTCGTAGATCAAAAACACAGCAGAGGATGGAGCCAGTGTGGATCCAGCAAGCTTTCAAAGGTATTTGCTTTAAAAGAAAAATGAAGTCCTAAGACTGAGCCTTCTAGTTTTCAAAGTGCTGTGCAGAATTTCAACCTCATGATCTTTTATCAACTCTGAAGGGGGGACACGGTTGTTGTCTTTGCTTAGTAACAGTTTTAAAAGTTTCCATTTTTGTTTCCATAGATAGTGTTATGATTGTTTTTCTCACATGGTTTGAATTGTTTTACGGGGGGATCTCCAGTCAAGCTGGGGTGCAGCTTTTTCATTTTGTACCTCGAAAAGAAGTCAAAGAACAAGAGAAAAGGATTTTATTTTGTTTTTTCCACAAAGACTAGACTAGTGACACACCTAGGCCCAGCATGAAGCTTTCTAGCATGGAGTTCACTTTCCATCTGTATGACTTATTTGGCAGAATAATATGGTCCCAAGGTTTCTTTTCAATTAATTTATTTATTTAATTTTGGCTGCATTGGGTCTTCGCTGCTGCACGCAGGTTTTCTCTAGTTGCTGAGAACGGAGGCTACTCTTGTGCTGCGCAGGCTTCTCATTGTGGTGGCTTCTCTTGTTGCGGAGCACGGCTCTAGGCGCACAGGCTTCAGTAGTTGTGGCACATGGGCTCAGTAGTTGTGGCTTGTGGGCTCTAGAGAGCAGGCTCAATAGCTGTGGCGCATGGGCTTAGTTGCTCCGCGGCATGTGGGATCTTCCCGGACCAGGGCTCGAACCCGTGTCCCCTGCATTGGCAAGAGGATTCTTAACCACTGCACCACCACCAGGGAAGTCCTATATATTTTTTTAAGTTGGATAATTTCTAAATTTCTTTTATTCCTATCAGCCTGTTGTACCATGAGTGCCTCTCTCACGTGGCAGAAGCAAGTCTCAGCCGAGAGAGTGAGAAATAGGCAGAAGGCTTTCTCTTTGCAGACCTTCCCATAGAATACATTTTTTCTCATCACTACTCATAGCAGGGACAGAAAAGGAGATAATTTTCCTCCTCTTTCTTGTTTCATGTTCTGGCAACTGGACAACTTTCCCTTGGGACCAAAAGCATTAAGGCTGACCCTGTGTTTCCTCAACGTGGCAGATTGACTTTGGTTAAAAGAATCCAGTGAAACTCCCCTGGGAACACCAGGGCCACTAACTCTCTTTCCAAAATGCTGATTTACCTACATGGTTCCTCCATACACGGTACTTTTTTCCACCAGTTCTTTTAATGGCACTGAGCTCTGGCTGTATGGTAAACTATGTCCAGCCATTTACTACATTAAGAAAGAAGCAGGTATTTATTCCATTCGGTGAGGTGCTGATTGGTTGTAAAACGTCCTTGTAAAATCTGTTCTTGCTGTTAACCTCATTTGTATGAAGAAAAAGTATTTGGGATTTGCCAAAATTGCTGAACGCGGGGCAGAGCAGTTGCTTCGACAGCCTCATGTTTGTTGAATTATTAGAAAATCCTGAGCCTGCAAGAACCCCAGGAAGTCTTCTAGTATGTCCCTCTGGCTCTGGGTGAATCAGCCACTCGACATGGTCATGCATGTTACTGGGGCTTTCCTGTCTCATATCCATGCATCTCCTGGGAGCGAGATTACAAGACTTCTCTTTGTAACCTAATATGATACGTATCAACTTAGGCACCAAGAATTCATCCTAAAAACTAAGCTGACATCTTTCTGGACTGACTTAAAGCCAATTTTTGGTTGTTTTCTCCTCAGAGATAGAGAACTTTGATCTAATAACACTCCATATATTACTCAGCCACCCTGAGGGGCCAATCTCGGTTCCTTTAACTGTTTCTCTCCTCTGCTCTTTTCCAAATCTATAACCACTTTAGTTTCTGTCTTCTTTAAATAATATATTCTTTAGATGTCTGTGACTCATTTGTTTTAAGGTTTTTTTTTAATTGAAGTATAGTTAACTTACAATGTATTAGTTACAAGTGTACAGCAAAGTGATTCCGTTATACATACATACATATATATTCTTTTTCAGATTCTTTTCATTATAGGTTATTACAAGATTTTTTTAACATGCAAAATTTTGTGCTGCTTCAGCTCACGTTTCCACTGTTTCCTTCTTAACCTACGTGCCAGCTGTGCCTCATTTCGTCAGGCCAAGAATATACACGTTATTCTACGGTGGCACAGCCCTGGTGACAGAGATGGCTGCGAAAAATACATACAAAGAGAATAGAAAAAAGATCAGGCATATTAACCTGTGTTTCTCTGTCTAGAACACAGACTACAAAGTATATACTTAATAAGTGAATTCTGCATAAATAAAAGTTCATTCCTATGTTATTTTCCTTGCTGCCTGTACCACCTTTATTATTAATTTAAAAAACTTTCTTATTAAGATATTTTGAAATTTAAAAGCGATCCCGGCGCGGCCGAGGGGAAGATGGCGGCGGCCATAGTGCTGGCCGCCGGGCTCTGCGGGGCGCGCCGGGCAGAGGCGGTGGCGGCGCCGCGGGCGGCGCAGGTGAGAGGTGGCCGTGGGGCGATGGAGGGGTCCCGCGGCTCTGACGCCCTGCAAGGCGGGGGGCCGCGTTCCTCCCCGGCTCCCCACGGCGTGCGCAGCCCTGCCGGGAACGTTGCCCCTCCCGAGGCTCAGGCTCCAGGGCTGTGCGGTGAGGTCCGACTGGTGGTCGCAGCAACCTCTCTTAAAGCCTCGCCGCAGGAGAAACGAACCAGGACGACGGCCTGCACAGGCCCAGGCACCGAGGTCGACACAGGGTCCGAGGAGCTGCAGGTGTGACTGATGGGAATGAAGTGTCCAAGGCCCAGAAGGCAGCTCCTCGGGGAGCAGCTCCAACCATCTCCTCCTGGATCCTAGATCGAAGCCTCCCAGCTGACGTTCTGTATGAGGACCAGCAGTGTCTCGTATTCCGTGATGTGGTCCCTCAGGCTCCTGTGCACTTTCTGGTCATTCCTAAGAAGCCCATTCCTTGCATTAGCCAGGCTGAGGAAGAAGACCAGAAGCTTCTAGGACACCTTCTCCTTGTGGCCAAGAAGACAGCAAAGGCTGGGGGGCTGGGAGATGGCTACCGACTTGTGATCAACGATGGGCAGCTGGGCGCACAATCTGTGTATCACCTGCACATTCATGTACTTGGGGGCCGACAGCTGCAGTGGCCTCCAGGTTGAACCTACCAAATGACCGAGGACCTCAGACCTGGAAGCTTGGATGGGGTGGGGAAAAACGGCACCCTGTGATGCTAATAAACTTTCTCTCCCTCAATAAATAAATAAATAAATAAAAGCAAGCAATCTCTTTTTTTTTTTATAACCTTAGGATGATGGAATGTGTTACATTGGAGATTTTTACATTAATTAGACAACTTCCTTGGGGTAGAGAATTAGCAATTTGGTTGATCTCCCAATGACTGGTATTACCCAGGAGCTGTTGTGTTCCCCAGAGTAACACTGATAAAAAGAGACTACTCCCAGAATGCCATGGGCCTTTTCAGTTAAAACTAGGATGGGTGTAACTTCTTTACTTCCTGAAGCTATATCAGTTACAAATATGTGGAAACAGAGAAGATTAAGCTATTATGGAGAATTTTCTTCTGAATAATTCATATTATTTTTCCTGTGTAGAGCTGTTCATTCTCCCCATCCTCTAGATATAAACTAAATATTGAAGGTTCATTACATTTCTTATTAATATCAGAATTCTGACCATGATGTTAGCTTTGGGAACAGGATGAGTTTTTAGTGTCCCAATAAACAGGATGTAATAAAAATTTTATAAAGAGCCAACTGTTTGCCATGTACTTTGAACATTATGTTTCACTAATAGTGTTTTTCTATTTTTAACACTTGAGGGAAAGTAACTTACAATCTTAGCTTAATTATGCACGGTTCTGAAGTAAATCAAGATCATCCTTTCAAATCACGTGTTTTAGTAAAATTCGTCCTACTCTCAATACCCTCAATTTTTTTTTTTTTTTTTTTTTTTTTTTGCGGTACGTGGGCCTCTCACTGTTGTGGCCTGTCCCGTTGCAGAGCACAGGCTCTGGACGTGCAGGCTCAGCGGCCATGGCTCACGGGCCCAGCTGCTCCGCGGCATGTGGGATCTTCCCGGACTGGGGCACGAACCCGTGTCCCCTGCATCGGCAGGCAGACTCTCAACCGCTGCGCCACCAGGGAAGCCCAACACCCTCAATTTTAAATCAATGAAATTTTAGGTTTTCTTATCTTACTGATAAATGTCTTCCTTTCTGGAAGCTTTGCCGGTAAACTGGCTTTCTGCATGATTTGGTTTTCCCTTGTTGAATGCAGGGCCATCTTGCTCAGTAGGAAATGAGCTATATGAGAGCCAGTGGCAAAGGGGCTGATGTTGTTCAAGACTGTCTGGTTCAGGGAACCCCTGGACTATTTACATGTACTTGACCACTTGACTTGTCGATCTCCCCTGTTAAGTAACTCCTCTAGCACCCTGGGTATCTCTTCTCCTGTCATTTTCCTGGAAATGGCTTAAGGTTCTATGCTTTCTCATCTACATCAAATAATGGCTTGAACCTGGGCATAGAATAGATGGAATTCTATTTAAGTGCCCACCATTTTATCCTCATGTCTTCTCTTCCAAGAGATATGAGTCCCTGGCTTTTCATGGCAAAACATCCACAACCCTAATCTTCTCTTCCTTCCTTTCCACCTCCTTCACCCTTTTAAAACAGTCTTAGATAGATAATTTTTTAGAGTACCGTGCTATACAGTCTGAGTGCTTTAGTGGGGGAGGATTAAGAGGGACGATTTTAATTACTCAAGTATTTGTTGGGTGTCTACTGGATGCAAGCTACTGAGGTCAACTGAGGTCAATTTTTTGCATCTGTCACCTCTAAAATGGCAGCGGTAGAGGACAAGCTGAAGCAAAGGTGTTCTGACTTGGTGTACAGATGTTATTAGAGATGACTTCACAATGACATAGAGCACTTGGGACATAGGCTATAGGAAACAGAGCAAAGAAAGTTGTGTCCTTCAATGAAGAGTGACAACCATCCAAGAATGGGGGAACTCTTTCAAGACTTAATGAGGAAGAAGATAGAAGTGTCTATTGGCCAGGGCAGGTGTTTACCTGGTTGAACAGGCTTCTTAATATAGACAAAACCCAAACATTCAGGAAGACAGTGTACTGCTGCCGAGGTGATGGGACAGATGGGGCATAAGGAATCTTTTCACTTACATTGTCGCAAATGCTAAATCTCTGGAAAAAGAAATAATAGCTAGTGCTCATGGGGTATTTACCACATGGCAGGATTTATTTTCATCCTTTTATATACTATCTAATTTAAACTGCATAGTAACCCCTTAAAAGTAGGCACTATTCTTATTATTTTTCAGACAGGGAAACTGAGATACAAAAAGCATGAGTACCTTGCTTAAATCCACATAGCTCACAAAAGATGCAGCCAGGCATTCAGTTTCCATAGAGCCCTTAACCAGAAAGTGGGGCTGCTTGGGATCATGTTTCCTGTGCTACAACTTGGGAGAAAGAAACACAACATCTTTCTTTTTTAAATGTTAGTTTCCTAGAGAATTAGGGTGGTTTTATCTGCTTGAATATAGGTACCCAATCATATATGGGAGCGCATGGTTGTTTTTAATGAGTGTAGACATTTCCAGGGAATTAGCTTAGAAACTTTTCTGCCTATGAAGCTCTTGTAGGTGGTTTTGCTCTTCTAGAAAAACGTGTACTCTAAAGTTTGCAAAGCAGAGCCCTGGAGCTCCCCTGGGAGAGTGGAAAGAAGTTTCCTCTTAAGGTGATTGAGTGAAAGCCCCAGCAAAGTGGCATTTTATGGAAGAGGCTTGATCAAAGCCAGTGAAGCTGAGTATAATTCCTTAAATGTATCTTTATGTAAACAGGGGGGATTCAATACGATTTAAAAATAACACAGTAGAGTAAGTGAAACAATTGGAGATATGCATCTGATTCAAATCGAATTCAGCCACTGCAACAAAATTATCTGATGAGGGAGATTTTGTGTCACATGTTCAAAGCTTTCTTTAAGTCCTTAAGGGATATCAAAATAATCAAAGTGTTTTCTTTGCTCTTAGCTGTCTTGTGAAAGAATCATAAATGGTTAAAACGTTTTTATGTTGATCAGAAACCATAGTTGGGAAATGAAAAGAAAGTGTTTCTGTGGACAAAACAGGGAGGGAGGAGACTCGGTCCCTTATTACAGCCTTTCTTTTAGAACTGTAAAGATCTCTCTGCCTCAGATCCCGACTCCGGGGTATCAGAAGCTCCTTGGAGGAGTGTGTCTTTTAATGTGAAGAGAATCAGAATTGGAAAAGGGATTCCTAAACTTGACTGATCATTGTAATCGCCCGGAGTGCTTTCTTAAAGGTAGAGAGTTTCAGGCGCCTCCCCTGGAAGTTCTAATTTAGCAGGTCCAGAGTGGAGCCTAGGAAAAGGAATTTTAACAAATCTCCCTAGATGAGAGTCTTATAATCAACTAGGACTTGGGAGCCACAATCTAGTGCACACATTTTACAGATGAGTAGGCTGGTGCTTGGCAAGGATAATTCAGATACTCAATTCCTATTGTACAGGTGAGCTGAAGATGGAATTTCTTTTTATCCCCTTTCTTGTCTCTTTTCTATTTTTCCCTTCCCCCTCCTCCTCTGCTTCCTCCTTCTTCTTCTTCCTCTAGCTCCAGTGCTTTTTTCAAGTCACTGAGTACATATACATTGGCCAGTTAGGGATGAGCGTCGTTTGTGTGTGTGTCTGTGAATGTGTGTGTGTGTCTGTGAATGTGTGTGTGTCTGTGAATGTGTGTGTGCATGCCTAAGGTTGAGGAGCTCTCGGTGGAAGATGCTAAATATTGGGCTATTAATCCGAAGTGTTGTCAGATGAGTAAAAATCCCTGATTCTTGGAACTAAAATGTTTATCCTGTGAAAATATAATTATTTAGTGCACAGTCTCCTGGACGAAGTAAAACACACACACACACACAAGAAATAGGATACATTTTCCAAACAGCTGTTCAAGAAAATATTAAATTTACTTTCTCCAAGGCTTACAATCATGTAGAAGAGTCATGACTTACATGCTAGAAAAGATAATTAGACAAGATAGTGAAAAAGCATCCTTTTTCCTTGCATTTTTCCCTCCCCAATCCATTTTCTCCCCCAGTGGATTTTGAGCTCCTGAGGTCAGGGACTGTATCTTACTCCAACTTAGATCCCTAAATGCCTAGCCCAATGTCTAACGTATAATAACAATGATCATAATAATGATTTATTGAGCATTTATTTACTTATGATCCTATCATATAGGTACTGTTATAACCCCATATCCCATATGGGGAAATAGCTATGCAGATGCCATCTGGCTTTTTAGTGAGTGTAGAGGAAGCACCACCTCTAGCCTGGAATGGACAAGATGTTCAGGACCAGATGGGACTTTTTCCAAGGCTCAGGGGATGGGATGGGTCAGATGAAGAAAAAACTGGGGCAGAATAATGCCTGGCAGAAGGAAGGATTGCCAATCTCCTTGAGATGGTGGGAAGGCATCAAGGTGAGCATGCTTGAGAGTCACATGCAGGATGTCTCCTTGGAGGAGGTTTGGGCAGAGAGACAGTGGGAACTTCAATTGGAAAGGTAATTTGGGATGGACCCGGGGATGGACTTGAAACCTTGGTTGAGAAGCTTGGCTTTCATTCTGTCCACATTAGGGAGCCCGAAGGCTTTGAGCAGGGGTACATCATGTTATAAAGTGCTCTTCTAGGATGACTGTGTCATGAGCATGGGGAGGTCTGAGGCACCACAATTTGAAGTCCCTGTGCAAAGAAATAGGGAGATTTGGAGGAAACACCAGTTAAAGGGGAGAGAAGGGGATGAGCCTATCCTTGCCTTGATTGGGTTGGGATGCCCATGTCAGGTGGCTGTCTTTAGCAGGCAGCTGGAGGTATAGGGCTGGAGACACATATGGAATGTGGATTTTTCAAGCTGATAGTAAATGAGATCTCTGCGTAGGAGAATAAGCAGCAGGAAGAACAAAGGGTCCAGGGCCATATCTTGTGCACCTGACATATTTGGGAAGCAAATAGTTAAACAGAGTCTGGCATGTAATAAACATTTACACTTAATTAAAAAAATACCCTCCTGTATAAGATTAACTGTTTCATGTGCTCATCTCTTATGTGTGTGTTTATCCAGAGAGATTTTTTTCCTCAACTGCTTGCAAGACATTCCCACCAAGTTATTTGCCCTCTGGAAATCTCGCCAGAACCTCAATCTTAATACTATTTCCC